ATATATATATAATTATTGTAATATACTATATTTATTAAAACAAACCTAAAATAAGCACTTTTAAAAAATTTAAATGAATTTGCTTTATGTCAAGCTTCATAAAAATGTTATGTATAAAGTTATTATGAAGTGTTTCCCTACCACCTGTACAGTGACCATGACTGTATGATGATATGATAAGGTTATTGCCCTGTTCGGTATGTGCAGAATGAGGACTTTAAGCCACCAGTTCACTGTCACTGTCACTCCACACCCTCGATGATTAGATGTGAAAGTGCATTTGAGGAATAAGCCTGATTTAACTAAATAGCCTACGATAAAACAGCCTACACTTCAGTCACCGATCATAGTACTTGCATGATGTTGATGCAACACAAATATTGTACCATAAAACGGAAACATGCTCCTTTAATCCAGCTCCAAATGAAAGTTTGAAGGAAAATGTGACTCATGTAAATTAAGCTTGTGATTCAGATATGGGGAAAAAAGAGCTCACGCAAGGTTTTTGGCCATGAAATGTTTTTACTTGTTCCCAGTCATTTCGCGTCATTATCAACCTATTCAGTACACTTTAACCAGCCCAAAGGCATGTAATTACAATGTTTTCGAGTCATGTGTATCTGTGATTAGGCCTATATGTCCCAGACACACCGTACAAAGGTGAGGTACAATTACACACGTACAAGATCTTGTTACCTATGATCCATGTGCTTCATTATTTTGTCTTTCACCTTTCCCTTTGTCATTTCTCTTTCTTCAAACCTGTCGTAGCCTAATTCCCTCATTCGCAGCTCTTTTCTCATGCACTAATGAGGGAGTGTCTCATTCTCTGTGTTCTCTTTCCATTCTCGGCCGCATAGCTCGCCTCATCCAGACCGAATCCAGGTTTCAGCCCGCGCCTTCCCTCTTTCCCCTCTCACACTCTCACACACTTTCTCCCGCTCCGTCACCGCTTTCATGCATCACCACTCCCTTCGGAGTCGGGACTTTTTAAAACTTCTTATGTTGGTGGTGGGTTTACTCATTTTAATGTTTTGTTTTGATTCAGAGAGTGGGGTGAGATTAAGAGGTTTAATGAGATAAAGGTAAAGGTCAAATTTATTAAAGTAAACACGTAATTTTACATTAGAGGAAAGTGTCTATAACATACATACATTATATATATATATATATATATATATACATACACACACACACACACAGACAAGAGATGAATTGGGTCATTTTGAAATATATAACCGATTAATTACATAAAACATAATTAGCCTAAATAAATAAACAAAATATCAAAAATGGAAAAAGGCTGTTTACTAATGCATAACTTCTTGTAAACCCTTATTTTGATGCTGATTATTCACATGTCAGTACACCAGACAAGAAAATGTTTAATATTCAGAATTTGTCAACGTATTTAAGTATTTTTCAACTTTTTTTTAAGAATCAGCTGACTCTTTTTTAATTTTTAATTTTTTTTATTTTATTGAGCCACTGGCACAGTTCACTGTGAATCATCTGATACACTTTACCCCACAGATATATAATTTAATTTTATTTTACCCACTGTAACAGTTTACCATGAATCATCTGACACACTTTACCCCACAGCTATTTTATTTTATATAAAATATTAATTAAATAAATAGTTACTAGATAATTAATTGATAATTAATAATTTAATAATAATTAATAATGATGAATTTCTTTTATTTGCATTTTATCAATATATATATAATATAATTATATCTAATAAATAATTTTGCTTTGACAAAATTAGTTTAACCTGCCATATACAAAATGTACTTTTGCATGCAAAATCGTTTTCAGTATGCTCACGTGCACCTCTGAATCACCAAAACTATATGGTTGTGTGAGTAAAAAATGGTTCCCACTGATGCATCTTACTTCAATCTTATAGAATACTGTACGTCATCATTTAGGTGTAAAGGTGTTTGTTTTTTCTTTAGTGTTGGTCCTCTGACTAAAGAATGACCTTTGAATGAAATCCTTGCCGTAGTCAGACATAAAGGCAATACTGGGCCGTGGTTTCGCATAGGTAAGATGATACCCGTAGGGGTAAATGGTGACCAAAACAACAAAATCTTGCGTCAGAAGTCATACTGAGTTGCTTTATCAGCACAAGCATAAACACTGAATCAATTTACTATAAATAAGAGATTTAAGTGCAGTCCACGCTGTGTAATACACTCAACAATATTTGTTAAAGGTTATACAAGTGATTTTCTCTCGTGTGCTGCTACCTGTCGGCCAACATCCTATTAACCCTGAATGTGCTCCGCCAGGTACAGCTTTAACTGTTCGATGCATCGCTTCTGTTTACACAGCAAAGGTCATGTGGCTTAAAGGTCAACATAACGCCACGGTAAGCTGAAAACCAACGGTTCATTCCACCTCCTCAACCTGTTGGACGAGTCTACAGCAAGTGTCGGTTGAGTTATGCGCCCATCCTTGTTTTGGTTTTAATCATCAAAGACACTCCTCAACATAATTATTTTCTGAGACTCTCAGTCTCTTTTCTCACCCGAGGCGACTGCCAACCAGTGTCAA